TTGACCTTTAGAACGAATTGGTATTCTGGAAGGAAATAGTCATAGTGTAGCCATCTTGCGTACGAAGAAAATATGAAAACAAAAAAATATAGAAGTTGTACTGATTGTCAAACCCGACGAAATGTATGACCTTGGGCCTATGACGACCGCCTTTTATAACCAGGTACGTCGGGCTCACCAGTTTCGTGCCTTACGGTAACCCTCGTGATACTGAAAGAAGAAGCCAGACAAGTAGTGAATAGGTCTTTATCTCGATCTTCGCGCAGTCACAGTGGAGCGTGGGATTATTTGTTCAGACAAACAAAGCCTCTCAACATTCAATATAAGATAATAGGAAATATAACGCCTATGCAAAATAAGGAAGTGAATTAATACTTGACCTGTACTGTTTTGGCATATGATTGATTGTTTGAGGTCAACTCTTAACCAATCAACCTATACTGTTACATTAGCTTCCCTCTGGAATAGACTTCCGTAGGAACGTCGGTTCGATTAACCTAGCTATCGGAAACATCTCAGTTCTGTTTTCTCGACCCAAGGGAAAACTATAAACTCGCTCACTGTTTGACTTCCAATAAATGACGACTAATTCCGTCAGCAATCAACAATAGTCCATGGATGTCTCTTCATTTACTAGCTTGTCACTTTATTTTGTAGCATGTGATTTCTTCCACAACTATCGCTGACGGTTTGCTATGTGCTCTCTATAGAGTGTGTGAATGTGGAACAAGGATATCTGAGGAAGTGCCGCGAGCGGGCTACCCAACACCATGTTGGTGAGGTACGATTTTTCCATGCTCAGACCGGCTATCAGGTGTTTACACACCTGCCTCTTGAGTCGCCCTCAAGTAAAAAGTAAGGAAGAATCTACTTCAAAGGTAATGGTGAAAACCAATCAAACCTGAAGAAATGCTCCGCTGCCTGTATACAATAATAAGATACAAAGTGGAAATACATAAATATAATCGATAATTGTTCGGTTCCACGTAAGTGATTGACCTTTAGAACGAATTGGTATTCTGGAAGGAAATAGTCATAGTGTAGCCATCTTGCGTACGAAGAAAATATGAAAACAAAAAAATATAGAAGTTGTACTGATTGTCAAACCCGACGAAATGTATGACCTTGGGCCTATGACGACCGCCTTTTATAACCAGGTACGTCGGGCTCACAGTTTCGTGCCTTACGGTAACCCTCGTGATACTGAAAGAAGAGCAGACAAGTAGTGAATAGGTCTTTATCTCGATCTTCGCGCGTCACAGTGGAGCGTGGGATTATTTGTTCAGACAAACAAAGCCTCTCAACATTCAATATAGATAATAGGAAATATAACGCTATGCAAAATAAGGAAGTGAATTAATACTTGACCTGTACTGTTTTGGCATATGATTGATTGTTTGAGGTCAACTCTTAACCTAATCAACCTATACTGTTACATTAGCTTCCCTCTGGAATAGACT